TCTTAATGCATATAATTAATTATATTTTTAATACAGGAATCGTACCTAAACAATTTAAAACTTCAATTATAACACCTATTTATAAAGCTGGTAATCCAAAATTAATAACTATCTATAGACCTATTAGTTTAGTTAGTAATGTGGCCAAAATATTTGAGAAATGTGTGAAAGATAGATTAACAGATTTTTTAAAAACTAATGACTTACTTCCCAAGCACCAATATGGCTTTACTGAGGGTTTTAACTCAGGAGATGCTACACATGAATTGATTTCATATGTTACTGATGAAATGAATACTGATAACAAGTGTATATTTTTAGATCTAGCAAAAGCATTTGACATGGTGCCACATCAGAAGCTCTTAAATGTTCTTAAACAGAATTGAGTGAGGGGCATCGTGTTGAAGGTTTTTGAAAATTATTTGACATACAGACAACAGAGACAGAGACAATGTGAGTAACCCTGAAAATGTACAAATCGGAGTGCCTCAAGGGACTGTTCTGGGACCTATACTATTTAATTTATACTAATGTATAAGTTAAGCTCTTAATAGAGCTTAACTCAGATTGATATTCAAAGTAAAGTTGTATCATATGCTGATGATACAGTGCTAGTCTTCAGTGATAAAGATTGGGAAGCCATCAAGACATGTGCTATAGCTGGAATGGAACATGTCAAAAACTGGCTGGATGTTTTTAAATTGTCCTTGAATGTTAACAAAACAAACTATATTGCTTTTTCAAAGACAGTGGCTGATCGACCCCAATTTAGAAGCTTAACATGTCAAAATTTAGACACAGGAAACAGAAACATCCAAATATTTAGGTATAATTATAGACCAGCACTTAATATATATATATACAGCACTTAATACAAATAATATATTATATTGTATTTAATATATTATATAATTTATTTATTTATTATTTTAAATATATTTTGTTGTTAGTGCGCCAGTTATTATTATTTTTTTTTTTTTAAGAAAAATAAACTTTTCAAAATTAGTTACCTGTAAAATATTACATAAAACACTCACTTAAATATGCCCGGCTCAATTATAATTTTTTTTTAGAACACTAGACTTAATCATCAGGAGTGGATTCAGTTTGACTCATCCTGTATAACTTTTTATAAATTCATGTTAAATGAACATCAATCTCGCAAATTATAACAAGTTTTATTAATGCAATTACTAATATGTCCTTTTGACATACAAATTCCTTCAAAAAAAAAAAACAACTTACCGAAACTCAAAAAAAATTAGATTGCAACTTTTAACTTTGTCACACTTTTCAACACTTTAATAGTCTGTCCACGACCACTAATAATAAATCAATATTCTACCTCCTGCTAAGAGCAATATAGTACCCATATATCACGGAGTGAATTATGATAATTCACGCTTTTGTAATTCTGGCACATTCCGATAGATAACTAAAGATAGGCGATACTTTTTATAACGATATTTTCTAGATCGAAAAATCGAAAAATCAAAAAATCACAAAATCAAAAAATCGAAAAAAAATTTGAAAAATCGAAAAAATAGGAAAAAATCGGAAAAAATCGGAAAAAAATCGAAAAATAAAAAAAAACCGAAAAATCGAAAAAAAAAATCAAAAAATAAAAAAAAATCGAAAAATCGAAAAAATCAAAAATATCGAAAAAATCGAAAAAAAATCAAAAAAATCGAAAAATAAAAAAAAAATCGAAAAATCGAAAAAATCGGAAAAAAATCGAAAATAAAAAACCGAAAAATCGAAAAATAAATAAAAAAAACGAAAAATCAAAAAAAAAATCGAAAAATCGAAAAAATAAAAAATATCGAAAAAAAATCAAAAAATCGAAAAAAAAAAAAAAAGAAAAATCAAAAAAAAAATCGAAAAATAAAAAAAAACCGAAAAATCGAAAATTAAAAAAAAAACGAAAAATTAAAAAAAAATCGAAAAATCGAAAAAATCGAAAAATCGAAAAAATCGAAAAATCGAAAAAATCCAAAATATCGAAAAAATCGAAAAAAAAAATCGAAAAATAAAAAAAAAATCGAAAAATAAAAAAAAAATCGAAAAATCGAAAAAAAAAATCGATAAAAAATCGAAAAATCGAAAAAAAATCGAAAAATCGAAAAAAAAAAAAAAAAAATAAAAAAGTGAAAAATCAAAAAAAAATCGAAAAAATCGGAAAAAAATCGAAAAATAAAAAAAAAACGAAAAATTGAAAAAAAAAATCGAAAAATCAAAAAAAAAACGAAAAAAATCGAAAAATCGAAAAAATCGAAAAAAAAAATCGAAAAATCGAAAAAAATCGAAAATATCAAAAAAATCGAAAAATAAAAAAAAAATCGAAAAATCGAAAAAAATCGAAAATATCGAAAAATAAAAAAAAAATCGAAAAATCGAAAAAAAATCGATAAAAACGAAAAATCGAAAAGTCGAAAAAACAAGAGTTAGTTACCTATGTTTAATAAAAACTTTCCATTCACACTTAACTTTTATTTAATAAAGAAACCATAATGGTCGTGGACAAAGTATAGTATTAGACTCGCAATTTATGGCCATTATTCACTCGGGTGACTTGCGACCCTCGCCTACGGCTCGGGACGCAAACGTCACCCTGCGTGAATAATGGCTACCATAAATTGCTCGTTTAATAATATACTATTAACAAAACTTATTTTATTTTTAATTTGTTTTACCCTTTTCAGGCAGTTTAATTGCAAGAATTAAGTAAATTTATTATTTCATATAGTAACACAATCGCAATTTGATTTGATTAAAATCTGCAGATTTCTTTAAATGTAGAAAAGAAAGTAATTTTTTTTTAGAAAACAGTATAATTTACAAAATGGTATTAAAGTTTATCGAACTTCCTAACTGCGATATATCAATAAATGAAAGTTTATAAATCTTATTAAAATACATCAACAACACTTACAATGTCTTATGTTTCATAGAGAAGATAAAAATAATTTTACTAATAATTTACCTTTTATAAAAATAGGAAATAAAAATTTAAATTTTTATGCATTAGTTGATTCAGGAAGTCAAATATCTTTAATTAATGAAGAATTAGTTAAGAACAAAGGAAAATTGGAGACTAATTTATTTAAAATAGAGAAAATCAAAATTATAACAGCTAATCAAAGGAAATTAGCAGAAATTCAGGAGATACTTAATGTGGATGTTGATATATAGGGTGTTAGAAAAGTAGTAAACTTTATGGTAACACCAGGATTGAAAATGGATGCAATTATAGGAGTAAACATGGGATAAAAATAGATTTTGAAAATGGAAAAATGATTTTGAATGATATGAAGATAGGATTAATAGGAACTAATGAAGAGTACAGTGAAGAGATCTCTGGAGGCATGCAAAAAAGCACCACAGATGATGCAAAGTATAAAAATGATAAAGAAAAAGTAATGACAGAGTATGCTGAAATAACGCAATTAAGCGGTTCAGAAAATGAGGAAGAAAAGAAGGAAAGGGAATCTAAAAAACGAAGAGAAAGGAACATGCAGAATATAAATAGCAAAAACTTAGATTTCTGATTTATAAATTTTATCTTCTAAAACAATTTCTCAACCAGGATCCACTAATAACATTATACTATAGTCTAGTAGAATCTATACTATGGTATGGAATCTTAGTATGGGGAGGCCTGTATGGAACTACATTAAATCAGTTAAATGTTATTCAAAACAAAATCTTGAAGTTAATATATAAAAGAGATAGATTGTGTCCCACCATAACTTTATATAATGAAAAAATTAGCAATGTTAATGTTCATATATTCACGCAGTGTGTTGTTATATACAAAAAAATGAATTTTTAAAAAAACCCTTTAGAACATAGACAACACTAGAACTACATCGAACATGTGCATTAAAGTACCAAAACCAAAACAGGGTAAATTATCTAGGGACAAAGTTCTATAACGCTCTACCTCTTCATATAAAATTATTAAACAAATATAAAAAATTCTGTAGAGTTAGCAAAATATACATTTTCCAAAATAATGCAAAGTTTATCAGAATATTCCAAGAATAACAGACTTAATACTTGGATTTTTTTTTAAATATTTTTTTTCTGTTTTTCATAAATTTTATTTAAGAAAAAAAATGTTTGGGTTGTAAATTTTATAATATCCTTCCAAAGGGCATAAAGAACAACAGTAATCTCTTTACTTTTAAGTCTAATGTAAAAAAACTTTTATTAGAGAAAAACTGCTATTCCATAGAATATTTTATATAATAATTCATGTTTTGTATTTATGTATTTTTATAATTACCATGACATGTTTCACGATAAATGTTATATAATTTTCTTATAAGGTGAAATAAATAAATTAAATAAAAAAATCACAAATATCTACAGCAGTCTTTCTCTAGACAGTCTAGACTCTCAGTTGGACAGAATTCCGTAATTTACAAAGGTGTTGCATGTTTTAATAGATATACTCAAGTCAATGGTAATAAAAAAATCTTTAATGTATTCAAAAATAAGCTCTATACATATCTGTCTAATGTTTTTGCCCTATTGTGTACTATTTTTAATTTGTATTTTATTTTAAACTCAATTGTAGCATGTATCTACTTTTTAAAATTGTATATCTTGACAAGGATAATAGATCTATGTTTATACATTTTTTAACTTTTTTAAAATATTGTAAATATGTATCTCTCAAAGCAGAATAAATATTATTATTATCTTGTGTTATAAAAGGTTTGTTCAGATTTTTCCAGAATACATTGGGAACTATCAGAGAACTAGTTGACCAGTGGATAGTTTAAAAGTTGTGCACAGCGAATAATTTGGTGTTCAACTGAATCTCAAATAGTGTGAATCAAATTTTAAGAAAACCTGAATAAAACCAAACAATTGGGGTCCTATTAGTAATTATTTAACTCGCCATTCAACAGCAATAACCATTTGATTAGTGGGAAAGAGTATAATATAATAACAAAAATGAAATATTAAATTAATCAAAAAACTGCACTTACTTCAACATCCAAAACAACAGCTTCTTCTCGAGGATAGGAAACTTGTTCTGGTTCACAACCATGCACATATCTAGTCCAACCGGGTTGCATTATCCAACTATCAGGAGGCGCAGGTACACATTCCAACAGTTCTACAACTAAATCCTTATAAGGTTTAACTTGTTCTTCACCAATAATTTGAAAATGTTCAGCGATGTTCTTCCCTTTTAACGGCGGTAATTTATAATCGACGTCCTTTTGAACATCCTCTTCGTTAATAGTAATTTCATGTTTTAAAAGTTCTCGTTTACATTGATCTGGAATGTTTGGATCGGTAGTATTGTTATATCCTTCTAGAAAGACTTGCTCGTAGATCGCTTTCGATAACATTTGTATATTCAGCTCATTTTTTCGCGGTCCATAATGCTTTTCCGAATACGATGAACGCGGTATAGGTTTCTTGATATCAAATTGTTTTTTATTCGGATTTGGCAGGAATATTTTTCTGGTAGCATTCGGTAAAAATTCGTTTAAACCCGATTTTCTGCTAACAGTTCTATATAACTGAATATTTAGTACCAATCGGTTGTTGTGAAATAAAGCGTTTCTGGTGTGTTCGTACAGATATTTCGATTTAAAATGTTTGTGACACTTGTTCATGTTTTCGGTGAAAATTAGAATAAAATAGTATACTTACTTTATACGGAAATGATTTAAATCGACCAATATTTACTAATAAATTCAAATGCGTACAAAATCACACGAGATAAATACAATCTTTGTCAAATTGAATTTTTAGGTTATCTGCGTCGTCTTTTTATAAAATGACAGGATTTTATGTTGATTACCCAGAGAGTACAAGGCCAAAATTAGAACATACTTGTCTTGTTCTAAGCAATTTTACAGTCAATTTAAAAGTTTTGGTAATAATTATTGTCACATTATTATTATTGCATACCTTCTAATTTCTAATCAGCAGACATCACATTTTATCTAAAATAGACCCGTCTTCACACGGTCTAAATAATTAGGCATTCCAAACTGAATGGCTACCAGTGGGTTTTGACGGGTTATGATATGGCAAAATTATGGCAACCCTGTAGGCCTGGTGATTTGACAAGGTCAATGAAGTAGATAGTTACATAGATTGATTATCCATATTTTTCAAAATAAACATAAGCGTATGCCTTGAAGTAAAAATGTAAGCAATTATTTTTTTTAAAATATCTGAAGGCTAAAAATTGGTTTTAAAACACATTTTTGCTAAACCGATTCAAATTAATAAATATTTGCCAGGCAATATGGCCGCTCGTAAACGACCAGCTTTGAGCAATCTATATAACTATATATGTATCATTGACCTGTTAATGACAACAGGGTTGCCATATCTAAACTGTCATTACCCACTGGTAGCCATTTGGACAGGTCGTTAGAATGCCTAATAGTACACCGTTTTATCGGCTTCATAAACCAACAGTGTACGACACACAATGGCGTGCTGTTTCGGGGGATTTATTTTATAAAAATTATTTAATGTTTAAATCTTGATAACTTATGCTAGTTTAATAATTCTAATGAATCAAACGTGAATTTATCAAACAATTCAAAAATTTTCTTACAAAGTAGGCATAAATTTATTATTAATAATAATTATTAATAAACAATACTATTAACAATTCCCGAAAAAAGTTAATTTTTATTATATCACTAGACATAAGCGTGTGAAATAAAAATTAAAAGAGGATCTGAAAAATATATTCTTATTTTAAAATTACCACTAAAAGAAAAGTACATTTTTAATTTAAACCATGAGTTATTTATTTATTTATTACAATGCTCTACAGGCAATCCCAATTACAGAGCAGGAATAAAAGATCACATACATATACAATATGTAGACTAAGTGGTACAAAATATACAAAAATTTGTAAACTAGTAGGTAAAATACAATACAATACATTTTTTTTTAAGTTAGGAAATGATATTTTATTTCTCTAAGTTTGCATGAGTAGATGTCAATGTCACTACTCACACTATTCACAACGCGGCTAATAGTATGAAATGGAGAATTTTTCAGAACATTTGTGCGAGGTACAGATATGTAAAATATGTTAATTTATATCACGTTCTCTTCATAATACCGTTTTTCCCGTTTGAATCGGACCACGTGATACATGCTAAGGCCATTCTGGCTTTACACATGTTTTTTCTCTTCTACGTTAATCTATATCGCGTTATCTTCATAATGCCGTTTTTTCTGTTTGAATGGGACCAATAGCAGTGAAGATACATGCTAAGGCCATTCTGGCTTTTCGTTTTGCGCATGTTTTTTCTCTTCTACGTTAATCTATACCACGTTCTTTTCATAATGCCGTTTTTCCTGTTTGAATCGGACGAATAGCAATAAAGATACACGCTAAGGCCTTTCTGGCTTTTCGTTTTGCGCATGTTTTTTCTCTTCTACGTTAATCTATACCACGTTCTCTTCATAATGTCGTTTTTCCCGTTTGAATCGGACTACGTGATACACGCTAAGGCCCTATCTGGCTTTTCGTTCTGCGCATGTTTTTTCTCTTCTACGTTAATCTATACCACGTTCTCTTCATAATGCCGTTTTTCCTGTTTGAATCGGACGAATAGCAATAAAGATACACGCTAAGGCCTTTCTGGCTTTTCGTTCTGCGCATGTTTTTTCTCTTCTACGTTAATCTATACCGCGTTCTCTTCATAATGCCGTTTTCCCGCTTAAATCGGACCACGTGATACAACTAAGGCCCACAACGTTATCAAGCAGAGAGCCGACTTTGATTATATACATCACCTTGTAAATAATTATTAAATGTCCTCGTGGTCGAGTGGTCTACAGCGCCGACTGGTAATCGTCAAACCTCTCTGGGTCGGTGGATCGATCCCCCGAGTCAGCTTTTTTTTTAATAAAAAAAAAAAATAAATGGTTTAAAAATAGAAATAAAATTAATAAATATTAAAATGGCGTATGGTGGGTTGTTGTGATATCCAATAATGATCGTGTATATAGTGAGATGCTAAATGGTATGTCCATATAGCAGATGGATGACGTGACATGACACTTGACAGATGACATAACAGCTGACATGATAGAGTCTACGCAGTTTGTAAAAGGGGCGTGGCTTAAAAAAAGTGAAGGGGGCCCTCCCAAGTAAGGGAATGCCTGCTGTGAAGACCCTTTTAAAATCACTTTAAATACATTTTAAACACGCGGTATTGAAGTGGACTTAATAATGTTAGTTATATGTATACTTTTAAAGATAAATTATCTTATTGTTAACGTATGAAAATAGTTTTTAAAGCTATATACATAATTCTTTTAGCAAATAAAAGCAACTTATATTTGAAGGTGATAATACGGTGACGCTCTAACCATGAACTATAAAAAAATCAAAAGTAAGGTAGTGATTTCGGAATGTCAGGGTAGAAATATATACTGCGCACCCGACTTTTGGGTGAGATTACAGAACGTCTGCAACTTTGCAGATCTGCAAATATGGCGGCAACTTTGAAAATCTGCAAATATGACTGACTTACACATGCAAGTATCAAGTTTTCGTATTCCAAATTTGGGTTTAGTGTTGTTGGGGGTAATAAACCACAATAAATATTGCGAATTTGCAAATATTTTTTGGAATACTTGCATTTGCAAGTCCGCCATATTTGCAGATCTGCAAAGTTGCAGACATTCTGTAATCTCACCTTTAATCGATAAATGTTAACGAAAAAGTTTTATAATCCAAAAAAACAAAATTGAAAAACAAATTAGAAAGAAAAATAATTTTATCTATTATTTTAGATTTTTCTGTATTAGAAGAAATCGAAATTATACGTTTAAGTGGTTGACTTAAATATTTTTAAGCTTAAATATTTTTATCTATCATGGCTTCCACCATCTCGAGAAAGTAAAATGGCCGTAAATTAAATAAAACCGTTTAGTTAATGGACAAAGAAACGTTTAGATCAAAGGGTTTTATTTAATCGAGTTTTATACTGTTCCAAGAGCACATACCCTAGACAAAAGAAAGGTTCGCTTGTGACTTAAACAGTTTAGTTTTAATGCGGCTGTGATAAATGCCGCTCGGTTTTAATGTAAATGTGTATTTTTAGATTAATAATAATAATATATTGTTTTCAATTTTTCTAATTATTGTAGATACACGCCTGTTTGACATGATATAATATGCGGGGTTCATATGGGCCACGTAAAAATAGGGGATGAGTTTAATTTTATTGTTTCTAACAAGAATTACAGTTAGTCTTTACGATAACCAAATTGATTTAGTTAAGAGCGTTCCGTTTTAATATAGCTATCTAATTGCATTTAAGAAAGCCGTTATAAGGAAAAGTAATGAAATAGTTTTAAAACGCAATATTTACCGACCAAATTGTCCTAAGATCAAGCAGCTTTAATAATAGGATTTATTAGTTACATTAAGAATCTCTTTAAAACTAAAACGTCACAATCTAGAACATAATAAAACCAAACAACCTGCAAGTCCTTCATAAAACTAAGTAGTTTTAAAGTTAATTGAAACTAAACCATTTTAAAACTGCAACAAGACATACAAACTTTTAAGATTAATTGCCCTTATTAGCGAATCTTATTAGATACTTTAAAACCAGTATTAAATGCTAAATGGCTTTTAAGTGCCCGTAGTATATCTACAAGGTAACTTTAAAACCAATATCTTCTTATTTACCACACTAAAACCATTTTAAAACTAAAATAAACCCAAAATGTTTTTATGGTGCTATTTGGGTATTTTGAATGATATGGTGAACAATTTACTGATTTTTATTGAAATATATGTAGATTGTACTCACATTTTAGTCCATGATACAAACATGAACACAGTTACGAAATTTTTAAACACTTTCTTACCACTAAAATCTTATATTTTTATTCATCGATTTTACAAATCTACTAACTTGCCTAGGTTTTTCATTATCGTGAATTACTAATTGATTTTGTATATCAGTTTTATTATTCCATTTAAATGAATTTCCATTAGTGTGTTACTAAATGACGCTGTCTCTCATTATGTCTTTTAAATTCTCTAGAACAAATGTTACATTTAAATGGTTTTTCATCAGTGTGAATGAGTAAATGTCGCTTTAAATCACTATTTCTTTTAAATCCTTTGGCACATATGTCACATTTAAAATGTTTTTGATCAGAGTGAATGTTCAAATGTTGCTTTAAATTATCTTTACGATTAAATAATGTGTAACAAATATTACACATAAATGAATTTTCGTCATTATGATTTTTTAAATGTTCTCGTAACACAGATTTGCGTTTAAATTTTTTGGAACAAGTGTCGCAATTAAATGGTTTTTCATTAGTGTGAATTGTTACATGTCGCTGTAAGCCATATTTGTGAATAAATCCTTTGGAACATATGTTGCATTTAAAATGCTTTTCATCAGTGTGAATTTTTAAATGTTGCTGCAAATTATTTTTACGGTTAAATTTTTTGTAACAAATGTCACACTTAAATGGTTTTTTATTATTATGAATCATTAAATGTTGTGTTAAGTTGGATTTGTTTGTAAATTTTTTAGAACAAATGTCACATTTAAAATATTTTTTAACGAAGTGAATTTTTAAATGTTGCTGTAATCCTTTT